TATTAGATAAATGTGAAATATGAAGTATTGACAGATTTTACTAAATCTGAAAAAAGCCATTTGAAGAAATGTTGACTTTCGGTAAGAAGATATGTTATAGTATCAATATATGGGGTAGATGACATTTTGAAACCGAACTTTTAATATGATATCAAAGAATATGTTAAAAAATCATAAATAAGCATAATTTCAGAGATAAGTTTGATTTACAAACTTWTGTAGCTAAAAAGGGCGCGAAAATCACCTGAAATTCCCAATAACGCCCCAATATAATAATATATTTTGACGGTAAGAATTTTCTCAAATGACGGTATAGTGCATCTACACTTGTTTGGAATGCAGATAGTTAACCCGTGATATAGCCGCTAAAAAAACATTAAAACTTTCTAGAGCTTTCTAGATGGTCAGTGAATGGATTTCTTTTAATTTTATGTTCGTTAGAATTGTGCCAAACCTCTATCAAGCGGTCACCTTAAGAAAAAGACCAGATGACCGCCTTATAGAGGTYGGCCGTTTAATCGAAGCCATGTTGACAGTAAATGTATAAGACTTAGAAACGAAATTATTATTTATTAACAGTGGGATGCTTAATATGCCTTCGACTGAAACATTCCTAAAATCCGCTTTTGTGGCAGCGTTTGTCTAGTTGTAAAGAACATCAGAAATATGAAAACGCGCTTTCCCATTATGCTTGGCAATGGCACTAACATATAAACGGACGAGCGACGGCTAAAACAAGAAAAACAAACCAAACAAAAGAAAAAAAGAATGAAGATGAATAAAGGAGCGCAGATCAAGAAAATGAATTTATTTATTAGAAAAATAAATTACATTTTGATGACTCATGCAAATTATTACAAACGTTTCGTTCATCAAAATCAAATATTTTCAAAAGAAAATATAATTGCAATTCAAAAATAACATACATTTTCACTAAAACGTGAGATATAGCAGTTACTTCTAAAACTTTGAGATAAATAAGTTACAGTGAGTGCAACTCCTTATTTGCTTTAGAAGTCTATCGTAGGTGCAGTGTCTGTCAACCTGTAAAATAATAATAAAAACGAAAACTAATTAAATTAGAATTAAATTATAACAAATTCTTTACGTTTTTATTAATGTTTTACCTATTTTATTGTGCAGGTGCTGCTTGTTGTGCTGGTTGTTGTTGTACTACTTGCTGTTGTTGTTGTTGTGTCTGATCTGCTTGTGCTTGTTGTGCTTGAGCTGGCTGTTGTTGGACGAATTGAGCTTTATCGTTTCCTTGCTGTTGTGCTGGTTGAGCGGTCTGGGCACCATTACCAGCCAGGGTTACTGACAGTTCAGCAACTGGTTTCTTAACGAGCTCATCGGCAACACCTTTCAACGGGGCTGCATTCTGTGGTRCTTTAGGCGCAGCAGCAGCAATTGGTTTGSCCCCTGCTGGGTGTACTGCTGCTCCTTTGCTTGGTGCTTTATCCATAACTTTTGGACTGGTGTGATGTGGTTTTGGATGTGGGGATTCGTTGCCTTCAGACATTTCTTGAACTTAAAACGGAGAGAATAAACAATATGAACTAATACCTTTTCTTATTAAACGCGTAAATAACGAATTCTAAATATAAATTTCAGGAGCGTTGTTATAGATAATTTTTAAATGGTGTAGGAATTCTTGAAAAGTTACAAGCATTGTCGCAATGGTACTTTTTAACAATTTTGATAATTTCATAAGAAGTCCCCATCGACTTGCGCAGCGTTGATTTCATTTCTTTCTAAAAGTGTGCATAGCAGGTGACTAAAGCAATCATTTAAGTTGTATTCCATAAAAAAAACCTGAATAAGCGCATCTGCGCATCATGTGGTATGCTCCAGAATAAATGGTGGAGATTTGATCAAAGCCCTCGAGATGCACTGTTCTTTGCATCGTGATTACAGATWCTGATTTTGTATTAAGTATTATTAAAGCAATCTGTTTTATACTTACATTCATATGAATCCGAGGTATCGTCATCTCCATCATTATCATCACATGGACCGTCAGGACCACACGGTCCTTGTGGTCCAAATGGTCCATATTCAGGAAATCCCATATCTGGATTCCCTACTGGACCCATGGGTGGAGGTCCCATACCATACCCCATACCATATCCAACGAGCCCGAACTTATTCATTAAGAAAGGTCCACCAGGTGCTGTAACTTCGACGCGTCCTAAACGTCCTCTCGGGAAGCACATGTAACACGGCCTATGGACTGGCTTTTCGTTATTGATTCCGGGCTCCATAGGGGTGATTGTCACGGGGCCTTTAAAGTTCGAAAAAGGGAACTGCATTGGACGAGGAAGCTGGACAGCCTCGTCATTCTGTTCTTCGTCGCCACTAGCCGAGCCTTCTCCACTGGAGTCGAACATTTCCATTCCTGAACCAGATCCATCGCTCTCTGTGTTATCTTTGTCAGTTTCCTGACCAGCATCGGGGGAAATAGCCTTTTCCTCGGTTTTGGGAGGCAATACCCGTGCAAAAGTGAGGKTAGTGCACAGSGTTACTAGAAATATTACGTTAATTAACTTCATTGTTTTTCCAATGAAAGAAGACAAAAGAAGCGAGAATTAAGTGTAACTTCACTGTCAAGGAATAAAACAACGATGATCTCATTGAGGGTTTCGGTTCATCGGTCCGTGGATGGTAAGGTTATCAAACCCTTCCACATGGGTCAATAAGCAATAGATTATTTAAAAAAAATAGTTTAAAGTTATCAATATTTTTTRATTTCTAAAAAGAAGAACACATTGTCCAATAAAAAGAGAATTCCTGTTWTCTTTGTTTTAAACGCAAACAACGCAGGATTARGTAAAATTACATCCGCGAAGTATTTCCAGGAATCGAGCAAAAATTTCCCCAAGAAATAACATAGCAATATAATAGGAATATATTTCTCGGACGAGCGATGTTAGCAGTCGTTCAATAGATTGTCATAAAAACATTTAGTTGTCATCAGGTATTGTTATACTTGAGTAAACAGTTTACAGTCCATGGAGATCAATTGCATTTAAATGGTAAAGCTATTCTATCAAAACCGGTCGACCAATAAAAGCACTAATAGGGTTTAAGAGATGCAATTCCTCCTTATATTTAACCATTATTTTTTATTATCCGATCAACGACATGAGAGCATTAAAATTTGTTTAAACTTTGTTCACCAGTATATATTCAAACATATTAAATTTGTTTCGCTGAGCATCAAAGGAATATAAAAATGAAGATTTCCAGGTACATTCTGCGCTCACTACTTGTTTTGAATTTCACATTGATCCCATCGTTAAAGGTATAGATCACCTAMAAAATGCGTCACAGGCATATACAAAATATCTATCAAGAAAGACACCACACTATAAAACTTTCATGTGGTACCAGACAAAGTCAATCAAGTTCCATTGACCCGTGAAAGTCCTCAGCGCCAATAACCTCTTTACTGGTGTACTCGGTAATCGGTTGTTTAACTTTCCCTTCGCCACGTCAGGGAGCGAAAAATTTATTGTATTGTAAAAGGGAAAATAGAAAAGTATTTTCTTTGTTATTTTCCATAAGGATGACAAATTTGTCATTCGTGTTTTTGGTTGGGGCCGCCGCRCTTTTAGTGCTCACAGACGGGCGCCCAAGTAAAYTGAGCTTTGAGGACGAAGAATACGTTAACAGTGAGATTGTCAAGAAAGGTGAAATCAAAAGAAAAGAAGAATCGCCTAAATCTGCAGGTAAATTGTTTCTTGTATAGAATTCTATAGTAAAGATATTCTTAAAATAATCAAAGTTATGATTCTTTGTTAAATAACAAGGAATAACAACTTATTACAATATAAATATGAACTGTTTAAAAATGTCTTTGTCATATTGATTTGATATCAGTTAATTTTTGCCGATTTATGGGATTTTACTAAAACTATAAGGGCTTTATAAATGTAATCATATAGATCGCAATGCAAAGATAAATAATCATTAATGATTAATTATTCCACAGAGAAAACAGAATCAAAAAAGGCTAAGAAGAAGCAGTTTGTTATAGACGCCCTTCACGAAGGCCCATACCACGGAGGTCATGCCTGGGGGACTACATCGGAGTGGCCAGGTTTTAGTACAGTCAATACACCATTTCCTGGCCATGGTTTCGCTGATACTTCTGGAGGTGGCTGGAATGGGTACCCAAGCCTTGGKGCATACAGATCTAAAATTCCTTCAGCTCTGAGTAAAAGATGGTGGCCTGGKTATAGTGGTGGATGGGGAGGCTGGGGTGTAGGAAACACGGGATATCCCGGATGGGGACCAGGCGCAGGTTACGGTCCCTTCCAAGGAGGTTTCCCTCCTTATGGTGGACATGGCTTTTTTGGCGGACCTGGTCATGGTTATTACCGATCAGATATTCCACAGCCAGAAGAAACTGSTACTAAGAGATGGTGGCCAGGATACTCTGGCGGCTGGGGTGGCTGGGGAGTGGGTAACGCTGGTTACCCCGGATGGGGGACAGGYTGGGCTCACGAAGGATGGGATCATCCAGGGTTTTACGGTTGGGATGGGGCAAATGGCYTTGGTGGTCATGGATACTATAGGTCTATAATTCCTAAGGCCCCTCAAACGGAGTCTCCAGTAGTTAGAAATTTCGTAGCAGGTTATAGTCCTGGCGTTTATGGCTGGGGTGGGGTAACACACGGATTACATGGACCYTTTGGTGGACATTTCGGAGGATATGGTGCATATGGACCCTATGGGGGWCATGGTGGACCATATGGGGCATATGGGGGACCATATGGTGGACCCTTTGGTGGGCACGGAGGACCATTTGGAGCATATGGTGGACCATATGGCCCCTTTGGTGCGCATGATGGAGCATTCCCCTACCTAGGAGTGGCACCTTTCTCGGGACCATATGGTAGTCACGGTGGATTTTTTCCACCCGATCACCCTCAATCCTATGCTGGACCTTTGGAATTTGGTCCTTTTGGTGAACATCCTATCGTTTTAAACCGTCGCCACTTTTCACCTTTAAAGGAAAAGCCCAAACAGGAGAGTGCCAAAAGCAGGCAGGTCATTGGTTATCATCCAGGATGTTATGGATGGGGCGGTGTTGTGCATCCAGGGTGTGGACCTGTATATGATGGAGGTTGTGGTGGACATTTTGGTTGTGGGGGTTGGGGTGGTTGGGGTGGTTATGGTGGTTGTGGTGGTTGGGGTGGTTATGGTGGTTGTGGTGGTTGTGGAGGTTGTGGAGGTTGTGGTGCTTGTGGAGGTTGTGGTGGTTGTGGAGGTTGTGGTGGTGGCTGCGGTGGCTGTGGTGGTTGTGGCTGTGGTGGATGTGATTGTAGGTCCAAAACACCAAATAAAAAAAACAAGGCGAAAGACGTTAAAGCCAAAACCAGACAACAAATTGAAAGTCCATTGGATGCTCTATCTGGTCCAAGTAATGAACTAATCAACATGTTTAACAACGCTGGTTTGCCAACAGAGCAAAAAGAAACCGAAACGTCTTCCCTTGTTCCAGGAATCCAGGAAGACATAACTCAACAAATCGAAAAGTCCAAAAACGAATTCCCTGAATATTCCAGTCAGTATGCCAGTTCCGATTTGGGAAGCGATGATAGTGAGGAAATGCAAAACTTCCACTTCAACCCTGCAGGTGAAGGAACTGAAATGAACATCGGTGATCAATCAGCAAACCCACAAGAAGTCGAAGCRAACGCTTTTTCGCTGATGACAGATAGAGCTTCCCGAAGAGCCAATATCCCCAAACGTGAGAGCTCCAGGATAAAGAAGCAATCTGTTGCGTATCCATTGCAATATCTTGCAGGAGCACAGATGCCTCTCTAYCAAACACCATTGGCTCACCCAATGATTCCTGCTATCCAACATCTACCATTGGTGAGTAACGTTGTTGGGAAATTCGAGCAATAGAGCGGATTTCGTATGAGTGGGAAACGGAYGGTACTGTGCGGTAACCGTAATCGTACTGTAACCAAATTCTAGTGCCCCATTGGTTTCACCAAAATTGTGCAGGCCAGGTCCGGTAACTGTGCGGTAACCGTGCGGTAACGGTGTCCCACTCATACGAAATCCGCTCTAATCGGATATCGTTGGGACCACATAGAGGACGGAGGCCTAGCATTGTCATATATTCCTGTAACAAATACCTTCCCATGCATAGTTCCCAAAAGTCGCTTTTTTTCAAAAACGAATCGTTTCCCTCACAACGTACAAGGTGCAGCAGGTAAAAAATGARCGAAGTGAAAAGACCGATAAMAGGGTCAAACAAACAACAATTTTAATAGCTAGCATATGAGAATGAGCTACAAAGCAGCAATAACAAAAAAATCTCCTAAACAACTTCAAGAAAAAAAGGCTGATTGATAATTAGTTTTCGCTAACGTTGTAAAGTCGATATCTAGAAAGATTTAAAATAGATCATACTCTTTATCTAGCGCAACTAATATGTAAATGATATAATTTCAGATACCTCATGTTCCAATTGGTTATCCTGCCCTGCTACCTCACTATCCATTCCCAGCGTTTCTGCCACAGGTTCGTCCAGCCCATAAYATTCACGTTGGATCACCCAATGTTAAAGTAGATGTCCAGACCACGCGAACTCACGTGGCCAAAAGACCTGAAAAAGATGAAAAAGTAAGTACTAATGAAGAGTCAAAGATCAGATTGTTGTCCCTATGACATAGATAAATGAATGTCTTAAAAGTCGAAGTTTCCGAATTCACGTCTTTCGTTGTTACTACATTAGACAACCAAAACATTGCGAAGGTTAGTAAGAGATCTGGAAGAYGTTCTTGACGATGAAAGCGAAAAGAAACAACCCGAAAAGACAAAGCGACAAGTTTTAAACTTTGGTTCCCAAGCTCAAGTACAGGCGGCCACGCCCTACCAAGCAGCAGCAGCTAGGTTAAAAAACTAAATGTTGTAAGATGAGTTACACGGCACAACTTTCGCTCGCAGCAGCGCATTTAACAGCACGATTCATTACTACCTCAGAATCAAGTCAAATGCAAGCGCGTAGTTGTGATCAAAAGTTGTGCAAGAATTGTTATTACATTATTGTGTGTATCTTGCAAAATATCCACTTCAAATCGATATGCGTTTTAGCATACCTAATGATTTATCGGAGAAATAAGAGTATTTATAAGATATGCGCTAGTTAATATCAAGATTAAACGCAATGCATCTTGGGATTTTTGATAAACACCCAAAGAATACCAAAATGCATTGCGGTTTTGATCAATTATTAATTATTCATGGTAAATCTAGCTGAAATACTCATTGATTTTCCCAATCCCATAGAGTATCAGCGGCACATAATTTTTTTCTTGTGTCAAAGAAAACAACCATGCTAGACAAATGTTTTTTACAAATTTAAATATGAACATAACAAATTGTGGTTATTTTTCTATCACAAAATATTTTTACCTTAAATTAGAATTTTATAGAATGCATGGTTGCTTTTGATACACAATTTTCTTAGAAAATATAGTTTGAAACGTTTTTACCCAAAAATCATGACCTGAGAGTACCATGGGAAATTCATGAGTTTGTAATGTCACAATATGTCATGTGTTAAAGAAGCATGAGTAGCACCTTTAGTTATTGAAAAATGTTTTCGAAATGTGTTAAAGTCCAATTTTAGAGATTCAACTGGCATAAATATTTTTTGGGATTTCGATTTCGATTTGGATGTTATTACGAAGGAATGTAATAGGAAAATTATTTGAAAATTTATCATTTCGAAAACATTTATCAATGTACTTGCTAAGCAAGGAAAATTTGAAACAAAAAGACAAAATGTGTAAACGCTGTTTAGAAGAATATTAAAATAGTATGAAGCAATCACAGAGTATTTTGTGGTTATTATTTTCTTATTGCATTCCTTCTGTAATATAAATTGCCATTGAATTACTGCAGTAATGATAATAACAATCGCTGAAATAATTAATGCTTATAATGACACAACAGCAATAATAATACTAATAATGATAATAACTAATAACTAATAAATAACTAACATTAATAGTAATAAAGAACTAGAGCAGAGTCACTTGAACCATGAAATAGAAACTAAATATTTAGTAACTAATAGGCACTATTTAGACACTATCACTGAACCAGAACAGTACAATGAGATTACTTTGATTGTTATAGTGTTCTCTTGGGTATTGCTTATTGGATCAAATAAAGTGTTCTGGTTCAGTGCTATGACTATTAGGAACTAATAGTGCCTATTAGTTAGTACTTTTTAGTTTTTATTTCATGGTTCATGTGACTCTGCTCTATAACATTAATAATAATTAATAAAAGGATTAAGTTGTACACACTGCCAAATTAATAAATAATTAATACATTGATACATTGGACGAATTTTAAAGGCACTTGCCCGCACAATAATGTTTGGTGTTAAAGTAAGTGTTATTCACAAATGGTGGATGTTGTTTAGTCAACAAAGATTTCTCGTGCAGCAGCTTTCATATTAATATCAAATTCGACTTGTGACAAAATCAATGCAAATGAGAAAGTATTGACATACACACAATTTAGGGCAATTCAAACACTGCTTTATCTACCCTATTCGATCCATAATCATCATCAACAGCTGCATAATTGTCTAATTTACATAAAAAAAATTATACATATAATATAAACATAAACACACGTAAATTGCTTCCTTGGTTTTTATCATTGTATAAATAGCTATTTTCTATGTGAAAAATACATGGGAGAGACATGTTTGATATCCAAATCAAAAATCTACACAGAACTTCGACGGTCGATCATTTCTTTCATTGTCAAAGGAGATATGACATTAATTTCGAAGTGTAGACTAGATAATAAGTAAGGATTTGATTAACTCTCGTTTCTTCACACGACATTGGCTACAAATAAGTATTAAAAGAACAAGCAAAATAAGAAAAGAACATTTATAATAGGAGGACTGTATCTACTGACAGTAAACAATCATGAAGGACTACATCCTCAGCTGTTCAAGCGAAAATTTACCAAAGATTTTTCCAATTTCATATCTTAAATCAGTCTAACTTTCGAAGGCATACCTATYAATATTGTTTTGAAGTAAAATTCTTGAGCTTTCCTTTCCAAAAATTGATTAAAAGCGCCATAAAATAGGAAAATATTCGARGTCACAGGGAGATTTTCCGACTTGCACTGCTGCACAGCGGAAGAATTCAAAATGCGCGCGCGTCAGCTCATTATGCAAAGTTCCTTGCATTTCATTGGTTAAAAGTTTTGAAAAAAAAWTAATTAAAAAATTAAGGAATTCAAAGAAAATTAGGTATTTCTTGTCGTGTTTTGTGGCTTTGATTTAGCTATTTTGTTCATWTAGTTATGTGAAGGATTAAGACAAATATCTTTTTCGTTTTTCAGCAGATTTCTTCTTCCGAATGCAAGAAGGTGAGCTGATATGGTCCGATATATACGAAACATATATGCATACTTTTTTAAGAAATGAAAAAAGAATTATTTAAGAAAATGAAATTACTKGAAATTGCCAAATTATGAGTATAGTTATAAGTCTTAATAAAGACGCGATTTTATTGAGWTATTTGTTAATTTTATATTCTGGACAGATTTCCCATGGCACAAATGCAAGCATCAATGCCAATGCAGTTGCGAAGTTTCAGTGGCGTCACTCCATTCCAAACCCCGCGCGCACCATATRCTATCCGTCAAGTCATGCCTGCGATGCAACGTTCTAGAACAAGTGATCCACCACCCTTATCGCCAGTGCAAATCGCTAAAATGGCGGGTATCAGCATTCCACTAGCAATTCAACCGGGATCGGGTTTATTAGGTAAGCATGAATATAAGTAGAAACTGCGCTACTCTATTTATTTATTTAATATTTATTAATATTAACTAATGAAAATGCTCCTTCACATTAAGGCGCAACAATCAATTCAAGAAGAAAGCGCACAACCAAGAAGACTAAGCCAGCTCCAAAGAGTCCAAAGAGTGCAAAGAGTCAAAAGAGATTTTTCCTTGCTTCACCATCAGCGCTCAGTGGRCTTATTCCATCCATGCGCGTTGCTCCATCGTTACCWGTTKCTGGATTTACAGCGCATGCWCCACCTGCTATTCCTCTTCCCATCATGCACACCCAGCCTCAAATAGCTGCAATGACAGCGGGTCCTATTCCTTCTCAATCTAGATTATCGAACTATCCAAGTGTTTTGAGTTCAATGATGCATCAACCCTTAAGCGGRTACCCTGTGGCGAGTTTGCCGTCATCCAATCCACCAATGGTACCACCTTTCTTTTCTGCGTCTGCAATGCCTTTGAAATACAGCGCTCCTAGTGTACCCGTAGTTCGCCAGCAAGTTTCTGGAATAGGAAGACAAGGTAAGTAGTGCCTTCGCCTTGGCCCACTAGAACTCCTTGCTAGTTCATATAGTCAAAGTGAATTCAAACCACGTCCACCATGGAATTAAGTCATTTATCCCAAGAACAGGTAGTCTATTTAAATAATAGACAATATAAATTTGTCCTTTGAATCTGAAGCACTCCTTGGCACGATGGTCTTTTACGAGTAGAAAAATGATTTGTTCATTCAATGCCTTGCAGGATCCTAAGTCTTTCACTGCAAAACTAGACTGTCTAACATCAGATAKATGTCCGAAAGTTGATGCTGGAGGCAGGAATCACCTTCCCTAAYGCGAATCCTCTTTTCGAAATATCTCTTATTTTAAATCTGATTTCATCAATTTCAGCAATACCTCAGTTTACTCAGACTGGTTCCAATTCCGCCTTAATCAAAAATTGGCTCACCAATTTAGCACAAAACCAAGGATACGGCAGACAAGGTAAAGTTCATAGAATTCCTATAAAAAAAAGAGCGTTTGAATTGAGCAAACTAAATGTAAGCTTTGGTCAAGTGCATAGTCAAGTACATAATCGTATGAGGAAGTGGCTGATCCCATTAAAGAGTGCTCAATACACATAAAGTGTAGATCTAGTTATATATATGATATATATATCACTAGCTCTACACTTCATATATATATAGTCAAGTACGTATAAAGTTGCATTGATTGTTCATTCAGTAAATCGGTGAGTGCATTTTCTCTTTCAGAAGCTGCAGAAGCCAATTTCCAAACCCCTTCGATTGGACCACAATTATCAATGTATGCAGGGGATGGACAAGCTACCTCTGAAGTGCCTATAAGAAATCTTGCTAATTTTGTTCCTCAAATACCTCGACAGCAGAACCCTTCAGTATGTATTCGTAGATAGAGTGATTAAGGAAACTTCGGTTATAATTTTTGTCATATCATAAATAATGTGACTGAACATAAGAAAACTATGTAGTATACTAACATCGTCCGAGAACCTTTTCGACGTTTAAAAAAAAAACCAGTGTACGTGTTGAAAATTTCATTCTGATTGTTCGAGAATTAAAGGTGGCGATGATATAGCGTGAGTATCGGGTTGTTCTTGGTGAATGGTGAAAATAGCTAAAAGAGAAAAAAGATCGAGACCGCATTTACATATGCATTTATATACACAGCTAACAGCAGGAACCTGAAGCGTCAAATGAACGCGAAGAGTAAGCTGTGAAACGTTCTTTTAAACTAGCAAAGATAGTTGGAAGTGGATAGTGGGAGGACTTGTTAGTAAAACTGATAAAATTGTACAACTTTGACTCCAACGATTTCTCTTTCAGGCGCTACTTCAACCAGCCTTTGGACGAAAAAAGTCTGCAGTTCCAAGCGCAAATTTGAAGAAACCAAAACACTAGTATCAAAATAGTGATCTCTAAGCAGTAATTAATTATACACGTATGCGATATACATAGTAGAAATATAAATAGTTCATGTCAGTATTTATACAGCAAATTGAAGAAACTTTGTCCTATTTAAAAGATAGATAATAGATAATAGTCGCTGTATACATTGAGCTGAAGTAGTGTTGTCAGGTTAGGTAGATTTAGATTATACATCAGAGCTGAGGCAGCAAGYATAAAAATTGAAGTAAWSTTGTCACATTGAAAAGGTAGATCATAGTTTCTACTYCATAACTGGGGCTGYATGCATCAAATTGAAGAAACTCATGACGACCTCTCTTCAAGCTGGTGTATGATCAGAAGTCTAGTAAACGCCATAGTTCGTAGTTCGACAGGAATACYAATATGATRTAACAGACACCAAGTGTATTTGCCAAAACTGGATTCAAGACGCTTTCCATTGAGGAAACTAGTTTAAATGTATTCAAACTTATAGCGTGTACAATAACTTGTAATAAATATGACATTTGTGAAGTTGGCTGTTGTATAATTAATGGAGTGCTTGAGTGACATTGTATATAGGGCGTGTCCATAAATTAGCACTAACACTAGATCCAGAATTTTACCGCGTAAAAATCTGAAAATAATATTACAAACTTTTCACGGATATAATGATCTTTGCTCTCTAAACCCTTTATTGTCCAATATTAAACAAACTAAGCAATGGATTCAACAGTTCAAGTATACAGGTTTAGTGCACCTTTCTATATAAAAAATAGGCAGTCGATTCCCAGGGGCCAAGGAACCTATTGTGTGATGGTTGTTCATTCCTCCCGTGTGGCCTGTCGCGGGGCGCCCTGTTTCCCTGTCCACAGTAAATATATCCTTCTGAAAGATTCGGAAAAGGAATTTTTATCCACGACATGAAGTTCTTAGAGCTTTAATTTAGTTTTAGTCAAAGATATCTTCCTGTATCTGTTGACTTATTAACTCATGATAAATTCTAGGTTTTTTTCGATAAAATGTTTATATCATTTAAAATGTATTTTTACGAGATCAATCACTCCTGATTCGCCTGATTATAGTTTTGCAATAAAACCCCAAATTGCTAAATTTTTCGTATTCATCGATTTTATACTGATTGTCATGTCCTCTTCTACTGTTAACATTCACTATATTTAGATTTAATGATGATTAATATCAATCCATTTGTAAACTTTTACATTCCCCAAGAACGAAAATGTGGAGCGAATTCGCGAGTGTAATGTTCGAAGTTCAGATGTCTTCAATTGTGTTTCATTGCCGATCCCTGCAAATCTTTTGCAACAGCTAGTATCTGCCTGGTCTGTTAACCACTTACGTTAAGAATTTCAAGATATTTTTGTCGTGGTGTTTATTGTGATGTCTGTCGGATATAAGAACTGTAAACCTTTTCCTGTGATGATTTGGAAAACAATAACGGCAATTGAACAGCTCAGTGAAAGCCGTCACAGTACAACAGGTACATTGGTATTCGGTCGCAAAAACAAAACAAAACAATACTCAGCACCCGTCCCCACCCCCCTCAAATAATTAAGCCATTGAAGAATGATTATGCAAACCCTGTATCTTTGCTAATTCCCTAACTGAGCGCTCTGATTGGCTCACTGCTCCCTAAGGATTTGGTGACGTCATATATTAGCATAGAACTTCGCCGAATAGACTATCCCGATTAGGTATTAGATATCTATCAGTGACTTCATAGTACGATGGTCTAAGAGGGTAGCTAGAGGTATGCTCTAGTGGGCGGCTACCCCCTCACTCCCTGGCCTTTTGGTTAAGACTAAGTTTTATGTTCACTCGGGATAGCGTGGAAGGGCCGAAATCTCTAACCGTAACGTAAGCCGATTCGCCGCCTCAGCTTCATAGAATGTCTCGGGGGAATCGTCCCATCTTTTTAGTTTTTTATCTTCATTATTTCTTATGTATGTCAGGGGGGGTACATCTTCTGTTGAAGTGAAAGTTCTGAGTTCGAGTCCTGCTGCTGGTATTTCTAATTTTTATTTGTTTCTTTTTGGTTTGTTTCTTGTTTTTTCTTCCTTCTTCTTTTCTTTTTTTTCTTTTCTGTTTCTCCTTTTTTGTTTTTCTTTAGAGATTCTTTCTTTTTAACTTTTTATATTTTTCAAAAAATATCAAAGACTAGCAAGGAACGCCTGCTACAAATGGATAGTTAAGGTTCGATCACTCAACACGAAGACATATTGACGAGAGGCCACATAAGGCCTTTCGTTACAAAAAAAAAAACATGCGTGTATCAGTTCGACTCCCTACTAAAAACTCCTAATCGAGTGAAACGTTCAAAGATAGGAAATAACATTTTATTTTACCATTTACATACTACATGTTCATTACTGCATAACATGACTGTTTGTAGTATTASAAAAAAATATGAGAGTAAGGCTAGTATGCTTACATACAGTTGACTCCAGCTTACAAATTTACCGTTCTTAAATTYATGGATGCCACAGCACTGTACCGAGGTTATTTCTATAAATATATTGGACAGTCTATCTATTTTAAAGGMTTCAATTGCCTGACTTGAATAAAAAAACGTGTCAAGCGTCAGCCCTTACAAAACGTTTGAAAAAGGAAGAAAATAGATAAGTAAAATAAAATGTAAAGAAATAAATTGAAATAAAATAAAATAAAACTACCTCAACAATTAACAAAACAAAACAAATAATAAYAAMTGAAATGAWAAATAAATGAACAAACCCGCTCTTCTTCCTTTAACCAAAACGATAAAAAGTTATCATATCAAGAAACTTTATCCCTTAATTTTGATATTTTACTCTTAATACTAAGTTATACTAGTATCCTTAGCGACAAGGCTTAATTATTGCAGATCTCATCATGTTCCATCCTATTCCATTTTGTTCATAGAATCAACCAAAGTTGACAGGTCGGACTTGATGTCGTTTGCCAGCTTCACAAGTTGTTCTTTTGACTCAATTACTTCGACAGTCTGTGTGTAAGGATTGTAACGAACATTGAAAGGTCTGGGAATCTGAGC